TATAGATAAGAGATGGGATATGGAAAGAAGAAATCATTTGCTGTAATTTAAGAGGAGGTGAAAAGTTACTAAAATTGTTTATACTTGTGATGAAGGTTGGGAGTAATTTCTTTCTTCAAAAAGCAAAGATTGTAAAATAGAACGATGAAACCTAAAATTACCTCATAACAATATTCTTTAGCTAGCGTAGTATATTTGCTTGGAAGTTAGACCAAAACTAGGAGACACAGATTCAAGTCCACTCAAAGTGACAGATGCTCACTGGATAACTGTGGGTAGTTCTGTCTCTCAGCAGGGCAGAAAAATTGGGGGTACTAGGTAGACCATCTTGAGCTCCTGGAAAAAGGGTGGAATAGAAATATAGCAAATAATAGATAAAAATAAAGTCCTTCTTTAAGAAACTACTTATAAACTCCACCATTCAATTTGTTCTGTTTTAGCAACTTTTATCAATCAAGCAGGAAGGAGATTTCATAAAGAATTTGCTCACATTCTCAGGCCATGCTTGTGTCTCAAGTACTGTTTAGTATACTTAGTATTTTTATTTAGTATGCATAAATTAGTTTGCTATCTAAGCACAATACAAGACCTATTTTTTACTCCAGCACAACAACCCTATGAAGTAGGTTGGGCTGATAAGGAGTAATAGGGAGTGACTGCCCCAAAGTCATCTGGTGAGCTTTCATGGCTAAGGATGAAACAAAACCTAGGTCCCCCCATTTCTAGCCCAATTCCTTAACTGCTACCTCACACTGATTCTCACAGAGTCTGTGTTTTTATTTATTATTAGTTGCTTATTTTATCAGGAAAATGTTTTGCAAAATCTTCACAGTTCTGCCAGTTATGTGATGGAAGGCATGAGCAAGGAGGATCCGGGAATGGAGCTTCAAGCTTACAGCGAGGGGAAGAGACATTCCAAGCATCTCCTCAGCCCCCAGCTGGAGCGTGTGAAAGTGAAGAGAAGGAGACTGGCCCCTCCTTAAGGGATTCAGGGTTATAGTTGCTGTCGTCGGAGGTTAGGGTTAGTCTGGTGAGATTCTGTCTAATAGGTGTACGCTAATAAAGTAACTGAGCTGTTCCTGGATTGTCTCACTGTGGTTCTTGGGCTGAACCTGACAGTTGTTACTTTGTTCACTGGAAAACATCTGCATTGTTCCAGTGATAGAACTGTGTCATGATCCAGAAACCTAGTCCCTCCTCCTAAGTCAATGAACCTATTAATATAAATAGTCTTTCTGACCAGGAAGAAGATTTGACTTCAGAAGCATCTTTCTTGAGTCTGTACTAGCTCAAAACCACCTTCTCAGGAGGAGGGATGGGGAAACACCATCACCATGAGACTAATACCCATTTTGGCCTTGAGGACACATTACCACTCTCAAACATTAAAGTCACCATCATATCACAGTTACCTTAGTAATGATCAAGATAAGGTCTTGTTCAGTGTGTGATACGAAACTAAAAACCAAATGAAAGCCAAAATCCTATGAACATTCAATCAGAGGCAGCCCACATGTAATTTTCTGGCTTTCAACAGCCCCCCCTCCCATACCCCCTTCCCATGTTGGAGCTCTCCATGGTGCTGTCTACTTTTTGTTCCTTCTTGAAAAATATGAATGTGAGTAATCTGAACATAACCTGTCCATATTTGCATCCTGACCCAGATGATGTTGCAAGAATTCTAAACTAAACCTTAGAGCTCAGTAACCTAAACAATATGTAGGAAATGTATGGACCATCCTTTTTTTAAAGATCTTTTTTATCCTGCCTGTATTATTTTTATAAAAAACTCAAGGCAGTGAACATAACTAATACTCCTTCCTCCTCCTATTTTCCCCACAACAACCCTGTGAAGTGAATTGGGCTGACAGTGACTGGCCCAAAGTCATCCAGCCAGTTTTCATGCCCAAGGAAGGACTAGAACTCACAGTCTCCTGCTTTCTAGCCTGGGCCTTAACCACTAGACCAAACTGCCTTTCTCTGATCCTTTACTGGCCTAATGCTGAGTCTTTTTACATTGTTACATTAATTATCTACTCAAGCACTGCTGTCAGCTCCCTAGAAAATCAAAACTTGGACTTCGTGCAGTATGAGAGGGTGCTTGGGAGTGATTATGCAACTGTTGTCAACTGTTGCCCTTATCCCCATTCCACAGATCAACCAGATTTTCATCAAGATCACTATGGCTTGTGGCAGGAGAATCTTGTAGTTTTCAAAGGCCATGTTAATAAACCCTTTTCCATTCTCGTGCAAAGTTTATGAGTAGTGATCCATCAATAATGTGGTTCTTTTGAGCGTATCTTTCTGCCTTTCTGTAGATCACTTTCATCTTTGCCAGCAAATTGTAGGTCATGAGTATATCTTGTCACATTAATTGAGAGGCCTTGGTTGCTATGACATCTTGAACTATTCCAGAAGACAAGAATGTGACAGTAATGTAGAAAATCCTCAGAATACTTCATCTGAGGGAAATCAGTCCAGTCAGAGAGGAAATCAGGGACACCTTCACAAGTTCCACTGGGAGACAACTGGTCCATCAGCAGAATCCTTCTGTTCCAATGTCCCATGATTAGATGCATACATTTCATCTTATTAGTTAAGATTAATTATAGTTTGCCAAAGTTTGGACAAGAAACTAGCTCTGGTAATCTAAAACAGAAGTGAAAACTTTGAAGCTATTTCTTGTGGCTACATTGGATGAAACAACTATATAAACATCCCCTTTGGTATCTTCTTAGGTAATATGCTATTTGAAAGATCATCTTGCAGTGGCTCTCGTCTTGCCTTGCTGACTATTCCAGGAAAGCAATCTTGGATGATTAAAACTTTGATTATTGGATTATGGAACTTCCCATGACTCTATTTTTAATCCTTTTTTCTCTTTAATAGCTACATCTAGCTTCCCCAAACCGTTCCCCTTTAGATGTGTTGATAACAGCTCCATCATTCCCAGCCAGCATCTGGTATGCACCAGTATGGATAGCTGATTTTCATGAAACAGCTGATAAGACATTCAGAGAGTTGAGATTATGCAGATGATAGCTAGCTCTATGTTTCATTTTCAAGTGATGCCAAGGAGTCTATGGAAAGTAATAGTTTGCATGTGGGCTAAGATGATGAGAATGAATCCTAGGGAGGCAGATCATTACAACACACTTTACAATGGGGTTAATCTTGAAAAGTGTCCAGAAACAACAAATGGTGCAAAATACTTAAGCTAGTTTGTGCATTTTGTAATCAGCATAAAATCAAATTTATAACAGTTGCACAAGCTTCCAGGTTTGTTCTTCTGAGCTTAGTGTAAGGTGCTTGTTGTTTACATACAAAGACAAGTTCTGAAATATTGCCACTTTATTTTATATACCAAAAGAAATTTGGGTGATGAGAATGAAGGTCAAAGTTTTATCTACGTCTTTAGTCCATTTACTGTATGAATTGCCTCAGCTGGAATTAATTTAGTTCTCTAGCAGGTGGTTGTGAAATATCTGCTTTGCTCAATGTTTCTTGGTTTTTAAGAGTTAGAACTTACATTATTTTTGTTAGAATGTTTATGCTTTTTTTAAAAAAAATATTTCTTATTATTCAAATTGTCCTAGTAATCTGTTGCTGCCTTGAAGGCATTATGGTTGAAAAGGTTATCAATACATCTTAATGATAAACGAAAGAAACGGGAATCTTTTAATTTACATTTCAGTATCAAATTGAAGTTGGGTTTTAGTAACAAATTATTCTAGTGTGTTCCCTTTCATAAAATAATGCAACAGTAGATATTGAGAAAAGTCCATTATAATCCAGGCTGGTATATGCATATTGGACTAGGATTGATGATATCCTAGTTCAGATGCACACTTAGCCCTGAAGCTGAGTAATGTTGGATCAATCTCCGGATGGTTTCACAGAATAATTTTTGTAGGAATAAAATTGGAGGGGGGATGGTAAAATTTAGCTCCTACATATTGGTGAAACAAATCAATGAAACATACACATTTATACACCAAGATGTGTCTGTGTGTCTGTTACATAGTAGTCAGTAGTATGTACTGAATTTATGTTGACCTGGAAACTGACAGGTTCTAATAACTTGTTTTTAATAGGCTCCAAATGGCTGTCATGACAACTTCCACTCTTTTTAGTTGAGGCCAATACTAGAAATAATTGGACACAGGAAACAAAAAACTGATTCTCTTGCCTGCCATAGAATATTATGAGACATAACAATGTACCATAATCATTTTAATTACAGTGCTCTTTTAAAAGAAGTAGGGAGCTTTGAAGTCCCAGAGCAAACAGAAATGATCCCAGGCAATTTGCTGTAGTAAAACTACTTTACAAAGAAATGTAGAGTTGTGCTATTAGTTTCTTTAAAAAAAAAAAAAACTCTGCTTCTGCATGTCTTAAATGATACTTAGCCAAAATAGATTTCTTTGAGGTAATTAAAGTTTTTCATTCCTGTGTATGGATAATTTTTCCATATGATTAAGATTCTATTGCAAACTATTCAAGAACTTATTAACATAGTACAATTTAGTGTAGTATGGATTCAAAAAACAAATTTACTTGTTTACAAGTCCTTGTACGTACCTCAGATTTTTTACTACTAAATCTTCAACAAGATGTCTAATTTGCCACACAAACTGCATTTGAAAGTCCTCTCACAGTGCAATATTTTGTATATTTATTCTCTTAGTAACGCCATAATGTTTAGTGGAAGAATGAAAAGCAATTTCCCATCTGATAAGACCAATGAGGCTTTCAGGACAGGTTGTATTGTCCTTTGAATTACAGTCTCTGTGTATGGAAAAATCTGTAAAACTGAATAATCAGAAGGAACTATAATAGTATGAGTGTTTTTATTTATAAAATCTTCAAAATTGGTACTTGACACAAAGAAGAAAAATATCTGATAATAGCAGTGATCCAATGTAAAATTGAGTTTGTGTATGTGTGTTACTCTGACTGCATATTTTTGTTCAGTTCATTCTCTTTTCTTTGACATGCAGGTTAACATTCAGCCTTCAGAGTGGCATCACTCTTTGTTGCTACCTCATTCCTGGGCTGGATTTATGGAGAGAGCATACCATGCAATTTTACAAGTATGAGATATTAGTGTATATATCAATGGATAGTCTTGTGTTTTCTTGCATAGTGGGGTAAACTTTTTGCATAAATATATAAGTAAGCAAGCCTGCCTGGTGCATTCAGGGTTTTCAGTCACTTTGGGCTCTTGAGAAGTCTAAGTTTAATATTAGGGAAAGATGGGTATAAAATGTCTCCTTAAGATATGACATGTTATGAATATAAATGTCTATGATATGGTTCTAATTTTGAGAATAAGATATCAGTGCTTTTACAAAATGAGCCAGCAATCATGTAACACCTATATACCCTACAAGACTCAGCATCGGTCAGCCCTCCCAGTAAACCAGACAGGGAACAAGACTAAATTAACTAATTCTACTTTATTGCAAGGCTATATTAACAGAATCTTGCAAGTCTGAAAGCACAAATCTCCCATCCTCCCTATTTACCGCCTGAGTAGTTACGGTGGGTCTTTCCTAAGTTTCTTTCTTTGACCATTACCCTGTTGCGGACACCCTTCTCTTTTATCTGATCATTCCCTAGGCAGCATCTCTTTCCCCCCATCTTCTAAGGCTACCTTTACATTCCATCACAGGATCTGGTATATTTGGGACTACCTACCTCCAATTGTTTCTGCCTGTCCAGTGAGATCTGGAAGATTTGGCTCATCCCAAATTAGGATTATAAAAATTAAACATACAATAGGGTAGGGATTCTGACAGATATCCTCTGGTTTGGAATGATATATAAACCCCAGTAAATAAATAAAGTGGTGTCTATTAGCAAGATGAAGGAATAGCATTAATTTTCAGCATGTAAATTTAATGGAAGGTATCTGTTCCTGCCAGGTCACCAAAGAACCTGACAAATGGATTCCCATTTCAATGTTATGGGTTAGGATATTTTTTTTCCCCTATCCGTTCAATCATGTCCAAATCTCGGAGACTGCCTGGACAAGACCCTGCAGTTTTCTTGGCAAGGTTTTTCAAAAGTGGTTTACCATTGCCTCTTTCCTAGGAGGGTTAGGGTTAGATCCACACTAACCTTTGCTTAAATTCTATTGATTTCAATGGAATTTAAGGCAACTAATATCCAACACTGACAGTGAGTAGATGTGAAATCACCAATGGAAGAGATTTTCACTGTTATCTACTCTAGATCATTTTGGGGAGATCTGGAGCAGATTTCCTTCATGTACAAACAGTATAGTGCTCAGAAAGGGCAAGAGGAAGTCTAGTTGAAGTAAATGAAGTATGATTATGTGACACTGAATCATTCTAACATTTAATTATTTGATTAAGACTGTCATTGCAACTTAGGTAGAGAGCCAGAGAGTAGAATCCACACTTTTAGTTGTAAATTCTAACCTAATTTCTTTATCACCCCAATTTGGGGTTGTTAAACATGATTGAGTGCAATTCATTCAATTCTTTTTGAATCCACATTTAACTTTTCACTTAACTAGGCCTGAATGAACAAGGCTATCTGGTAGTTCATGGCTGAATTGCTGTTAAATTTGTGTTTACAAATCCTCCAAAGAAGTATGGATTGTATTATAATATGAATACATATTCACCATTTCAGAAGACTAGGGTAACCTCTGAATATCATTAGCTTGAAAAAATAATTGCTCATATCAATTAATCAAGAAACTCTTGCTTTAACATAAGTTCATGAAGAATTTTCTCATTTTTATAATCCTTGTTACTAAAAAATGATATTTATGAACATACCAGTTAAATGTGATAAATAACTGGAAAAGATGTTTACTTTCATATACTTTCCCACAAAGATACAGTATTGCGAATAATTTTTTTTAATCTTTAGGTTATAACAGAACTTACAAAATATTCCAAGAAATAGTTTCTTTCCATTTTCCTACAATGTGGACTTTAGAAACTTTTTTCTAAATTTTAGAACCACATTTCCTGAACACAATTGTGACAAATATCAACAAGATATTTAAGCTGAATGCTATAGTTGTTTAGTAATATAGTACTGAGCAACTTTTCCTGAATTCCAGTGCATGCATACAGAAATGTCTAAATGTAGGTAAGTTTTAGAGATCTCTTGTCCAAAAGATGGCGATCATTAATGAAACTAATGACAATATCTAGGCCTGTTGAATAGATGCATCTTCATTCATAAAACTAGAATTTCAGATTCCATCACTTAACACATAGTTTATTATGCTGAAAAGACTCAAGGGGCAATTGGACTTAATTATGGAACAGTGCTCAGTGGAAAGGTTACATTTGTTATGTAAGTGTTCCCTGTAGAAATCTCTGGATTATTACCTGTGTAAGTACCCCTGCTGATTTTTGTTGTGATTCTACAGGGGAGGCAAGCTGAATTGGAGATGCAGTTAAAGCATGGAAGAGAGGAACTAGAACAAGTGCAATACAAGCAATTTACAGCCTGGCTCTGGTAAGGCAATGACTGTCTATTCCTTGTCACCCAGAATGGTGGTGGGGTAGTAGGGAAAAGAACAAGAAAGAAACTTCAAAGGATTCAAAGTTGCAATTTTTATTAACTTTATAAGTGTTAATGATGAGAGCCAGATATGATCTTGCAGAGACAAGGTGTTAATCATGAAGAATTGTTTCTTTTACCAGTAACTCTTCTATATGATGTCTGAAGAATTTTGATGACAGAATTGGCAGCACATTTGAAAACAAGTTTCTTGCATCATTCAGAAATCTCTTCCTGAGTGTTCAGTAATTTGATGCATGTAGGAAAAGCACTTAGCATATAAGTGCATGACTTTTGTTTGTAATATCAATGACCATGCTTCAGTTTCTTATGTTCAATATATCTGGATATGTAGATTCATTGTAAAATTTGCCTGGTTGTGATTGCAATATCGAAATATAGGTATATTAAATATATAAAGTTTAATATTTATTAAACATTTTTAGGCTGTTCCCTTGCTACATAGCAGTCTAAATTTTGGTAAACATATAACTCAAGATATCACATTTAGTAGGTTATTTCCAAGGAAATGTGAATTGTGCCCCCTAAACATGAAATAGAATAAAACTAAACATTCAGTTGTGAAGCTGAATTCCAAGATTTTCAGGTTCAAGAATGCCAGCTATCCAGCATCAAGGAAGACCACATCTTATTGTTGAACTATGGGTGTTCTGTAGCCACTTGATATATTGCATTAGCACTGTAACTAAGTACTATAGTAACTAAAAAGTTTTGATTATGGTGAACGTTCTTATTTACATCAATCTGCCTTTGTATAGAGATGAATGCAGAAGATAATTAAAATGAACGTATGCTTGTTAGCGGGGATTGGTTTATGCTTATTAAGAACAGAGCATTTATGTGAGGAACATTTTAATGAAATAGAATTTCTTTGAGTTTGGCTAAACGTAACGCATGAATCTAGCCTCTGTGGCTTATTCAGCAAAACATGGTTGAAAGAAACTGCTTAGTATGATTTTTATTTAGGTTTTATATATTATATTTATTATTTTATGTTTATATAAAACGGTGATAAAATAATCTGAAGTGAACCAGTGAGAGGGGCTGTTTAGGAGTCCGTACGTCAGCTATCTCCTTATTCTGCAAATCCATCAACATTTCAACAGATCAACCAGTTCTAGTGGCTGGAATATTCAGAACCTCCAAGAAATCTGCAGTCTTTAAACAGGTTCCCCTATCCCTGCAAAGGTTATAAGTCTCAATCTATTGTTTTCATTTTGTTCAATAAATACTTTAGGAATCCAAACTGATCTGTGTTTGGTGGATCACTACTCTTATAGAAGACTACATTTACCAGGACAGTATCTAAGCAGCCCGTCATGCAATACAGCAACAGAATTTCAGTTGATGCACACACAACTGAAGTGCACATCCATTCCTTAGAGATTGCCTGGAACAGGATGGCAATTGAGGGATTATTTTACAACCAATTACTGTTCTTCCATCTCCAGTCTCCCTCATATTTTGCTTGCTACCTTACTCAGACCCTTTAGGGATACTCACTGATAGATATGGTTTCCCCCCCCCCTCATAATTATAAGTATTTAATTCCACAGCACATTCTTTAGTTTCTTGTTTCTCTCTTTTAACAGGGTTAGAGATATGCTAACTGATGCAATCAAAGGAGCTTCCAAGTAAGATCTTTGTTTCTTAATAAATATAGGCTGTGATATGATGATGATGATGATGGTTGGATAGTTGGTCCCACAGTCAGCAACATGTTTAGACTGGATTTGGTATTTCTATCTACCTATCGAGTCCTTCCCAAGGAACTGGGATAGGTAGATGTTGTTTGGTAGTGTTAAAGGTATCATCGCAGGATATAAGCTGTTCCAAGTAAAGCTGCCTTTTGCAATTGACTGATGGTGATTTTGTCAATGTCAATTGACTAATGGTGATTTTTTGTCAAAAATTTGTCATTTTTTGCTTTTAGGAATATTAGTACTGGAAGACATTTCTAGGGGATGTATGCAGACAAGTGCAAACCTTTCTTAAATGGTTTAATCCATGATTTAATCCATTCCTCCAAACCAATACATATTTGTAACTCTATTATAGTTTATGGAGAGTATCTTAAATGATAACCAAAATCAACCTTCTATTTCCTAACCTGATATCTTTTAGCTTTGCTAGAATTACTGCTTCCAGAATTCCAACATTATTTATGCTGGGTGGGAATCCTAAAATTTGTAGATTTTAAAAGTTTTAAAAGATACCAGATTGTTGAAAGGTGATAATTTTTCATCCCATTTCTCTAACCTCCTTCCTACTTCCTTTATTTTTTCCTTTATTTCATTGACAACTGAGACATAATTTTCAACAGGGAAAGCCCAGTGGTTAAAGGGAATTGCCTTTTAGCGTTAACAGGCCTTGCAGTTGTTGTTGCAAAACATGAAAAAGAACTTTCTGCGGACACTGAAGAACAATTTGATGTGAGTTAAAATGACTTGATTGCTTTAAGTGTAAAGCAAACATATTAAACGTTAATACTTGACCATGAAGTTCCTACTATGCTATTTCTGATCTAAGGTACAATCAGATATATGAGTTTTAAATTCAGTTGCTTAAAATATCACTGGAAACTAGTTCATGATCATGAGAACAAAAACAAAAAGGATAATGATAAAAATCTATGCATTTTGCTTATTTAAAGTTGCATTCCTAAGTTCCTTTGACATCAATGAAAATTACTTCTTAGGTTAATAAAATTATGATTGCACTCTAATTCTTTTTGAACAGTATCTTTTGTATTTACATTTTTTAAAAATAAGTAATTCAGTCTTTGTGTATACATGTACATACTCATACATACTAACTCAGGAGTGTTTTTTGATAATAATGTCTAGTGTTGCTCTACAGTTGGGCAGTTTGTAAAAGTAACACATGAGCTTGGCAACTTCTGCTTTAGTATCAACTGTACTCTTAAACTATGTGCAAAATAATTCACATAGCTGAATATGTCTTTGTATTTGGATTATTAGGTAACTTTCAGTGCTTTTGTTGCCTACAGACTGAGCCAGACTTTCTTCTGACAAAACACTGGATTTCCATGGTGATTGATACCCTCCTTAGCATTGTAGACAGTCACTATTGTCCTAAGGGTCGAATCTTCCCTTGGTTTTATCAGGTAGGTCAAAGTAGATTTTACAAAGAATCATTATTACCACTGTATTTTCTTTTACTGAGGAAAGAAATAGATTTGGATTATGCTGTGTTTACCTGGGCATTCAGAATAACCTTACATTTGAAATTATATATGGAATCTATTCTCCTCATTCTATAATTGTAGATAGGCTTTCAGTGTAGATCTGTGAGTGGCATCAAAAAAACAATATCATAGATCAGAAATGGGCATCCCCTATTGTACATACAGCTCCCAGCCACCCCTCCTTTTTGCTGCCTCCTGAGATCACACTCCTGAAAACAACCCACTTTCCAAATATGGGGAAGAAAAAAACCTACAAAGATATGTGTGTGTGTGTGTATGTGTATATATGTTTGTGTGTGTGTGTGTGTGTGTGTGTAAGCCTTCTTTTGAACTTGACTCCAAAATTTGGAGGCCCCAAATCTTCTCAAAATCCTAGCACAAACAACTTTTGTGATATTACCATGTCAGTTCCATGCTGATTGTGATCCTTATCTTCCAACTTGTGGCCCATGACCATTGAAAGATAGCTTGTCTGTGTCATAGATAGTGGCTACTGGTTCTGTAACTGCTGAAGAAATAAAAGATGAAATTGTTGTATCTCATTTTTGGTCAGTTATAGACAGACAAGACGTCTCTTTGGAGCATAAGCACAGTGCAGCTTTAAAATGATGTTTTAGGGAAGGAAGGAGGAGTCTGAATGAGTGGGATGAGTAGAACAGCATTAGGAAGTTGAACATGGTTGGGAACAAAGCTTGAACAGCATGCAGCCTTTCAACTTTGTAAGTTAGTACACTCTAAGGAAAAACTGTACATGGCTGACAACTGTGAAAATGGCATCCCTATGTTAATCTCTACCCCTTTCTTTGGAATCTTTGATATCAGTTTTTCCATGCTGTGAAAGTGACTATTGTCTTACAAGTGGATGTGGACAAGGGATAGGGAAATTTATGATGCAACAGTGTCATGGCAAATTCATTATGTGGGTGAGAGGAAGAACCAAACCCAGGTGCCATTGTCAGTTAACATATAATGTCAGCCAAATGAAACTGAAAATCCTAATTAAATTTTCAGTTATTTGCAGCATCATAGTGGATTGGGAGAATTGTTTTAATAATATATCTCCAGTTAGGTTAGCTAATAATCTGCTCCTTTAGAATGAATTGGCACTCCAGAGGACCCCGACACAAAACACTGCATTGCAGAACCCATTTGTCTTACAGGAGGTGAACATTCATATAACTTCACAACCTGATGTTTTTCCCCAGGATCTCATTGTTCTGATTTGTGGGAGATGGGATGGACATGTGGATATACATGCAAAAGCAGTATTGCAATTTGTCTGTCTGCTTTTGGCTCTGCTCACCTGGTCTTTCCCCCCTCTGCTGCTTCTGTAATTCTTTTTAATAAACCTCCCTGTGTGTATTCTGAACACAGGCTGTGACTCTCCACATAGTCTTGGAACTGATAGGAATGACAGTAACAGAAGGGGAAACACTTGCATTCTCATCTATTCTAGTATAATGACATTCAGCGTGTTTCTGCAGTTAGATAAGATGGTGGTCCTTTTGTACAGACGCTGTTATACAGAAGTGGATGGGGGCATCATTTGTTCTCTTTTTCTTTCTGCTTTTCTGCTGGAAAGATCCAACAAATAGCTAATTGCAGATTTTCCTAAGGACCTATGAACTCCTCTGAGTGGCCTGGCAATTGTGGATGGTGGAAATACGATAGCACAGCCTTTCTTAACCTGTTGACTTGCAGAGGTGTTAAATATTAAGTCCCACAACCCTTACACACACAGTCTGTGCTGGCCAGTGGATTATGGAAGTTGAAGCCCACTATATTAGGGAACATTATTTGGGGGAAGACTGCTGTAGTGTAGTGCTAGGATCCATTCTAAATTACTTTCAGTTAAGTAGATGCTGAACAGATAGGTGGGTCAGAGTAATAAATATTTTTTAAAGACAGCAGCTGTCTGTTAAAGAGGGATGACCAGGTTGTTCAAATGTTGAATTACATCATTTGCATATCTTTGTTAGTACCAAATCTGGGATGAGTCCTTGTAGTGGAAATTCTCCTTGGGTCCCCCTAGAAATATTCATACATTATACCTTTAGTTAATTGGACTGTCTTGGGATCAAAATATAATACATATCAAATTCCTCTTACTTCATCAGCTTGAAGTTTGTGGTAATTCTTTTTAAGAAATGGCAATTTTGATCCTTTTTCTCATGCTAAGTTTATACTCCAAATCTCGGAATATAAAAAACTATTTTATTGAAAATTGGGGCACAAGCTGAGATTTAAAGTTGGGCTCAATTAATAGATAAACATGAGGAAGTTGTTTTCTACTTCAAAGGTCAAGTATTAACTGCCTGGTACAACTCAGTGTTAGTATTTACAACTGCAACATCAGCTGACGCCTCAAGTTGGACCTGCAATATTTTTTACGTCAGAAACACCTGATCTACTACAAGCAATAATTATAGCTCTGACACACAAAAAGTTAGTTATTCTTTATATAATTCTGTTGGTGACTAGTAAATTTGATATGCCAAATTTAATGGCTGAGTGGAATAACAAATTCATAATTTCTATTTTGCCTGGACAATGGAAAGAGGTGTCAAGTTTAAGAGCCAAAAGCTTCAGTAAATCTTAGATTACATCTTGCTCAACAAAATATTTCAGACATACTGGACTCCATTGCAATTATATAGAAAAGAATTGATTAAACCATCCTGTTGATGGAGATGCAATGAGAGTAATGCTTCATTTAAACATATGTTTGTATAGTGTCCTATAATAATTTCATTTTGGGAGGAAGCCGTTAGATTATCTCAACTTTGAGACAAGGTTTAATAATCTCAGATTTTAATGTTCTTTTGAAGTATATTCCTATTGCACGGAAATTGACATCTGGCCAAAGAAAGTTGATTTTCTTGCTTATAGCTAATAGTTTTATTCTTAAGCACTGGAAAGATAAAATATGGCCCCAACTACTCAGTAGTCTGCAGAATTGATGTTAGCAATTTACAGACGAATCACTTATCAGCATAAATTAGCTATGGGTGATTATAATGAATTATGGCTACCATTCATTGAAATGCTTATATAGAACATTTATGAATGTATATGTATCCGTGAATATATTCTCTATGTTCTATGTTTTTCTTTCTTATTTTTTAAGCTTGCTTTTGTCTTATTTTCTTTCTATAACTTTATATATTATTTTCTTCTTTATGTTTGTTTTTTGTATCCAGTTAATAAAAGCATTTAAGTGAAAAATCTTGAGTTCTGTCCAGACAGGTTCATTTGGTTGTTGGTTGTCTGATTTCTATGCTTGAAATAATTCCCGAGGCATAATTCCCTAATGCCCAGCATGACTGTTTTTCTCTAAGTTCCCTTGTATTTTTATACATCCACCTATAAACTGTATGGGCTCTATATTTTTACAAATGTGACTGATTTCACTGCTTTGAAATAAATGTCACTTGACTTCACACTGTTCTGTTGTTCCAGTTGTTTTCTTTTTTCTTATTATGCAAAGTGTGCTTCTCTATGTAATTTAGCCATGGTAATGTTGCCTTGAAGGGAAAGATATAATTTTGTGTTTTGATGATCAATCCTTTAAATATCTACTCAGAAGTAAGTCCCATTGAAAGTAAGGCACTTAATTGTAGTTAGTGAGTTTTTTTAAGATTTCAGGATATTTCTCCCTCTGGGAGTATATATTTAATTTTAATAAACTGCTGTTAGTGCCTAGGAACTGGCAGATGAGTTTATACATTTTAAAACAAATACATTGAAATGAGTATTAATTATTAAAGTGTTTGAGTTTCCTTGCATTTGGCATTTGATGTTTCTGCAACAATTATGTATACTTTTCTTTTTCGCATGGTGCTTTTACTGATGTTGATTTCCCCCCCTTGCCTTCTCAGGAAATTCCAGTGAAGTTATATAATTAATTAACAATTTTAATTTACATTTATAGATTTCAGAAAATATAGATTTACTTTTATTTTTTTGAAATAAAACATGCACATTGCTGATTTCAGTGTTTTAAAATAAAAAACAAGCAAGCAAAGGTATGGAGAGTCACATTGTCAAAATCATCATTATATATTTCTTTCTCTTTCCTAGATTGGTATACAAAGTGCTGAATACTTTTATATGTAGAAAAAAAGGATAAAACTAAGAATCTTTACGGCTTTGCTTTTGTGTCCTAGAAATCCTACTCTGGTGAAAATACTGCAAGTGCTATTGCTCGTTCCTGTGCAGCAACCTCTTTGTCTCTCTTGGTGCCGGTTTTTATTGTATCCTACAAGGAAAGGGTTGAGGAAGTCCTGAATTTACTGATTGCCATGTTACCTGGGAAACCAAATGCAGATGAGTCTCAGGCTGTTCAAATCCACATGAGCCTTGCATTGGGGATGTTTATTTCACGGTTATGCGAAGAGAAAGTCAGGTATGGATTCCATCATATAGCAGGTGCGCAAATAACTTTTGCTTCCTTCCATGCTAGATATTCAGATTATGCAGAGCAACATGTTTAGCTTTTTGCACTTCACAATTCCCAAGGCATTCTGCAAGATGATTTCATTTTGAATTACTTCCTTGGTCCCCCATCTTCTTCCTTCTTCCATTATTTCACCACCATGTAACTGATTGTTTTCCCTTCTGCTAGATTCCAGTGGGTCTGAAGCTTCTTCATGTGTTACATTCACAGTATGAAAGCCCCTTCATTGTGGACTTTTTCTGCGAAAATAAAATCAAAAGCCTTAATCCACATAGTCTAAGCTTTCCCCAGCCTAGTATCCTCCAGATGGGTTTTGCTGTAGCCCATCCTCCCTAGTCAGTATTCCTGTTATCTTGCTGACTGGAAATGATATGAAATGTCCAACATATCTGGGTGGCTCCAGACTGGGTAGGGCTTTCTTAGTATTCCCAATACCATATCATTTTGCTCTATTGTATAAGAAGCAACAATAGCCACACAGATTTGCCTCCCACCAACTACTCCAGCCTTGACTTTATGTTCATATGCCAAGAAGGAGTTTAATGAGCATCATATAAAGTGGTATTACTTTTAGGTAGAAAACAAGAGACAATTCTGGATTGTTTCAGTCTCAGAATGAAAGGATGTACAGCAGCCACCCATGTTAAAATTAGTAGCAACAAAACTTTGTATCTGGAGGACAAGAAAAGGACTGACTAAACCTTTTATCCTGCAGTACTTGTTTGCCACATGTTGGATTATAACTTTATTTTTTATTTTGATGTTCAATATCTTTCAAAACTGGATGTGCCTACTAATATCTGAAATGATCATATCTTGCTCTCCCTTCTTATTCTGTTTCAAAGTGACTGTTAATTATGTTCAGGAGATTACAATTATATAATTTTTTTTTGCAAGGCTGTTACCAAACTGCTTGGACAACACAGTATAGGAGCAATAATCTCAAAAGTAGTTAAAAAAGAAATAACAGACAAAATTACATCAGTGCATTCTACAAGGGAGCAAAAGTTATCTCTCTACTCTCACATAAAAAGAGACACCACAGAATTATTAAGATGTAATATGAAATCTAAGCAACTACTCATCATAATTTTCCCAAATGTACTGCTGTATATTTGTTGGGCTCTGTGTCTCCAAGCCATAGTATTTTTCTCACTGAGAGAGAGATGCTACACAAAGGTGTAGGTTCTGTTTTGGTATGTGAGCTCCTGGGTCATGGTCAAAGGATAGTTTGAGAAGATAGGGAACCTATATTTTAAGGAAATTGCTATCTTTGAAACTGACACAGAGAGAGAGAGAGAGAGAATAAAACAGAATGATTCAGCTTTCTGGCTATTTAGCTATGATCCTTGCACAGATCATTTAGTCTATAGTACTGTACATGTGGGAAGAGATGAAAGGGAATATCTTTGCAAACATTCAAAGCAGCCTGAATTAGTCTTGAGTACAATTTATACTAGAAACAGAAGGATGGAAAGGCCAGTTTGTCTGGAAGTGCATTAAGATTCCTATCCTTTCATTTTTCCCTTAAAGCTTCTGTTGCATAGAGAATGGAGTCAAAGGATAAGGAAGTTCTGTTTTTCTCTTTTGGTCATTAGAGAGATGTATATTAGAAGTCAGAAGAAAGGGAAGTTAGCAACACATCCCACTTGCATGCTCTAATAAGATTGTCAATGCTGCTTTTGGAGATGACTGTTCGTGTGTGCATGTGTGTGTATGTAGTTGTGTGGCCCATGGATGTAAAATGTTAAATTGTATCAGAATGGAGAAGAATATATTAATAATAATAGCCTATTGGCTATCAGATGAGGGAACATTGTAATAATTTAACTTACAGAAAACAAGACTTAAAATGCAGGGAAATGTATCATTAGTAACAGAAATATATTATCATTACTCTTACTCCCCTAGTGATGTAGCTGACAAACAAATGACTCTCCTGTTGATGAAGTCCCTGGTTGCATTAGAAGATTGCTGCTTCGACACAAGTCTTGAGTACAAGTATGTACATTTATTTACTTCTTGTACTGCTTGCATTTTGATGTGCAGGGTGATGTTGTACTTAGATCAGGGGCAGGAATTACAATTACTGAGTTACACCTAGTAACCCAAACAGCTTGGCTATTGAGAAGGATACTGGGGGCTGTATCATTCTCAACAGGATACCAGTAATTCACCAGTGTTGTGAGGGCCCAGGCTTCATGGAGTTAGAATTGGATCACAGTGCTTAGTTGTGAATCCTTGCTGACCTTGGACCAGTCACATACTCTCATCCTAACTTTACTTTCTAAAGTTTTGGGGAAGATAAAACTAGGCAGCGTACATATCTCTGAGCACTTTATAGGAAGAATGGGGTATAAATAGAAGACATAAATAATGTTTGCTTAATTATCCAGTGTAAAAAATTATGTTTTTTGTTGTACTAGAATCAGATGCTTGTTTAAAGGAAATTCTTTAAAAAAAATTTTTAAAAAGAAATATATTTAATCTTGGAAGTGGTGAATGTTGTCCTCCTGATGTCTTTC